CAATGAAAATACAACTTCATATCAATGGAAAGCTGAATGAACGCAGAATACATATATAAAGGAATACAAAACAAAATTGAATTAAAATCTTAGTCATTTTCGGCCCCCTCCCTCTCATAAAGTTATGAATTTGATTAATTATTGAAAAGGGAATTTTAATGAATTTATGAATTTGATTTAATTATTAAAAAGGGAATTCTAATGAATTCATGAATTTGATTTAATGATTGAAAAGGGAAAAATTGTCACCAGAGCATTTTAGGACATTTATTTTATTTATTTATTTATTTATTTATTTATTTTGTTGTACGACAATCCACTCTTTTTCATGCTGATACCCCAGTCACAACAATTAGTCAAGACACCATATCGAAACGAGACCAAACAATCAATTACATTACCCCAAACGATCAAGGATCTGTCGGTTTGGATTTGATTTGTGGAGTCAAAAGACCAGTTCACGATTAGCACATGTCCCAAATGACCCTGCATATCCACAGATCTTCAAAACATGGAGAGGTCCCACTTTGTACATCTTTCAATAATCACTCCTACACTAGTACAGCGATGGAGGTGCTACATAAATAGCCTTTGTTTCCCCTTTTTAAAGAATACTTCCACCTAACGGTATGTACCGTATAATGGAGTGCACTGCCTGTGTAGTGCATAAATGAATGATTACATTACTTTCATGAGCACATATCCAGTACTTTGTCTCTGTGTATTTCACAATTTGGTCTGAAATGACCTTTATCTGCTCATGCTCAGACTGCATCTATGAACTGGCTTATTTGGCAATGTGAACATGGTATGAACCCAGTATGAGACTACATTGTACAGTACATGTAAAACAAACACAGAAGGCACAGCACGTTGGCATTGTATTTGAACTTCTGACAGTCAATATGGTTTATTACAAATGTACAATCGTATCAGAGTCAGTATTTTTGTTTTTCATAGTAATTGCCTTTCTCTCTGTTCGACCTACAAACATGGCATCACAATATCATTCCATGTCGTCGTATCTCTGAGAAATGAAATCCAACATACATGTACAACAGACTAACATCTATACATGACTACAAAATTACAAAATGTCCTGACATGCATTGTGATCTAAATAAAAAATATTCAACAATTCAATGGAAAAGAATGTTTATCAATCAATTTTGGGTAACAAAGAGACCAAAAAAATGAAAATGAAAAAAAAAAGCATCAAATGCAGACACAGGATATTTTGCAGGCAATCTGAGAGTTAGATTCAACTTAATGCTAATAAAACAGAAGCAAGTCGATCAAACTGTACGCGAAGAAAAGAATAATATCAAGAATATCTATGAAAATCAGGAAAAACACTTCAAAAATTGCTACACTGAAATGAGGACCATTAACATGAACATTGATAAGCGACATAAATCGGAAAAGAACAATTCACACATATTCATAAGCAAAATTCTTCAACTGTCAAATGAATGATTTTTCCTTTCATTTTTTGTGAAAGCTTTTTAAAAGAAAAAACAGAAAGCTTATTCACTTTTCTGGTCATCCCACAAATAAAGAAAGTTGACAAAAATTGGTTCAATTTGGGAAAATGCATTTGCTTGCTTGCACATGACAAAACTCCTTAATGGTATCACACACAAGCGTTTCATACATGTAGCCCCAAATGTTTTTGTTTTTTAAACCCAAACATTGAATTTTGAACAAAAGAAAGGTTGGATCAGACCAAATTCAAAAGCAAAATGACACTCAAAGTTGTTAAGTTTCTATTATTCTTGGTTAAATATGGGACAGCAAACGACCACATGCATGTAGGTACGGTACATGTTTGTAATTTGGACTAGCCCAAACAGTTGTGCAATAAAAGAGCGTACAGTTCATAACAAACTACAAGTAAACTAGCTAATAACTGCTCAGATATATCAATAGTCTCCGCGATATTCAATTTCCATTCAGACAAGAAGTAGTACACCACGGAAAAAAACAATGACATGACAATCGCAAATTAGAGAAGCGGCAACTGTTCAGGTGGACAAAAATAGCTGCCGACAACAACGTCCGCTATGCATGTTCGCTGATCTGTGCGTTAGAACAGAGAAAAGCAATTAAAGTATTTAAATGCACACTTGCGTTTCTCATACAGGTCTGAAAGAGCAGCATCTTTCTTTTACTAAAACAGTTAAGGGCCTTGCATGGCAACAGGAAATTTGCACAATGTAATCAAACTTGATACGTCAGAGATGTATACATTAAATTTGATTACATTACAAAAATTGCCATTTACTGGTAGATAACATCACACTACACGAACAAGAAATGTGCAAGGTCTCAAAACTTTCATTTCAACACTAAGTTTATGCAAAACAAAATAAAGAATGAGAGAAAATTCAATGGCATATATAGTAAAGAATAGAAATGATGAATTCTTGGACACAGTTCCTCTTCCTACCCTTATTAAATGCCAAATTATCTTGATACCATGCATAACAAATGGAAAAGGTCTACATTATAAACCTGAAATATCTCATAAATACTTCAAAAATAGGAATAAATTACTTTCTTATATTACTTCTACATAAATATAGAGGAATCTTTGTTTATTTGAAATTTCTTTGTGTGATAATCACTTCTTTATGATCACTGCATGTAGGCTACCAACTTCGCACTAAATATCAAAGATGATCACATTTTGGGTATCTTTCATGTAGTGGTTATCCTTAACCGTGGCAGGCGTGAATTTGCATTCATGCCGAAACAATACAAAAATGTTGACAACTACATGTACCCTCTAACCACTAATTATCTTATCTACAACAAATAATTATCTCAATGGCAAATAGTTTGGACATTTTATAGCAATTGGGTCTAGATCAGAAGAATAATACCTCTCTTACATTGGCACATCTACGATATAAACAGAGCTACATACCGTGCTCAATTATTGGAAATTATGGATTCATTGTATCTACTTTTCTCCCTTCTGTTAGTTGATTATTATTCAACAACGAAGTCTGACAACAAATCTGAGGCTGTCAGAAATCCGTGTTTCACAAAGAACAATCCTACTGCATTTCACTGTATGTAAACAGAAAAAGCATTTCTTTCCATGTAATCATTTAAATGCAGTGTGTACAGGTTTAGAGTACCAACACCCTCTTTTGATCTTTGGCACGTGTATGCTATAAAATAAATGGAAAATGCTACATATGTTGAAATACCTCAAACAAGCATAAGAAACCTCCTATGCCACGGGACATTTATTTGTGTACTAAATGAATAGCAAGTGAGGATTATCTGTGTGTTAAGAGATACAGAAATGAGACGAGCTTAAGAAGGTTTATAAAAACCTGCGGTGAACTGCTTAGCGGGGCACATGTAAACAAGCTTTAAAAGCCCATCTGTACTAGTTTGGCTAGAAGGGAGGTCACTGACAGGTGGCTATCTCATCAACTCAGCTCTCAATTAGCATAAGAAAAAGAGGATCATGGGGGACCAATGGTCACCGATTAGGCATTGCTTTCTACATTGTATATAGAGGGAGCACGTAGCTACAAGTAGTACAGTGGGCCTTTAATGCATTGGTTTAGCTCCATTTCGACACTGCTACGCAATTCAACATCGGCCTCAAGACATCGATCAGGGTTTAAAAGACAGAGTTCACACCGCCAATTCACACGCAACAATCACTATCTTATCTACGGTAGTACGTTCGGAGAGACAGTTGGCTTTCCTGAAGTCGAGTCATGAAGTTGGAGGACTGCATTCATTCCTAGTCGGTGGAAGACATAGAAGTATAGTCGCAGAGTTTCGCAAACCCTAATAAAAGGTCATGTACAGCAATGGCAAGGAAAATGGATATCATTTTACATGAAAATAAAGTCGCGAGAGGGGTTGGAAAAGGGTAGCTGCAAGCAACGAAGGCCTGGTCGCACGCACTCACTTCCCTCTGTGTAATACGATACAGAAATGTGAAGTTTAACGAGACAAATGCAATTCCAGTTTTGATTTTTGACCCAGCGTTTTTTTCTTTCTCGGAGGCGATTTACAGCACGTGTGAACAATGGGGGGGGGGGGTATAGAGTGATTCCGAGAGTGAGTGATTGGGGGCTCAAAAAAACAATCATCAAACTTGATTTCCAAGAAATTGGCAATTAAAAGGATTTGACATTAGTCACTGAATTATATGAAAAAAGTATGTTTTATAGGCTAACATGAATCATTATTTTCAACAATGATATTTATTCTATTTAACAAAAGAATAAAAATAAATTACTTTGAAACCAATATACCGGTAGGTTACTTGCTATCTAGCTATATTCAAAAATATACGTGGAACAAATCTGGAGAATTATCCAGTTATTAAAGATTGCCATTACTGTACATGGGCTTCAAAAAGCATGCAGTGTACTTGTACAGTATTTGCACTCGCAAATAGGACGACCTGCTACACAAGATTCTACCTAAGAATACACATGTTTACACGTGTGTACACAAATTAATTTTACTTTTAATACCTCTTTTGTTAAATATTGTTTAGAAGTGCCTGATGAAAAAGAAATGAAATGAACTCGTCTATCTGGACTTTGATTACCAAGTAACTCTGCATGGATATCTGTGTAAAAAGCATGTGCAATGTTTTCAATTTCTTCTCTGTCCCTGAGACAGCAACGCTAATAGAAATGAGATGAAAATGAGGCTACATATTGTGACGATGTAATGCACGCGATAGGAATTACACGACAACACTACAACCCTAGCACATGATACAAATCTGACTACCGATACTATGAAATTTGGAGAAAGTAGAAATTGAAAATTAGGTATTGAAATATCTTTAAATGTCATATAAATCCCTAAATGCTATTTATTCCAAACATGGGTTGGAGTAGCATCATAAGTTGTGATAAAGGCTTTATAGATCAAATATCACCAAAACAGTATACACGGGACCACTCTACAGCTTAAAAGTGTAATACAGACACATGTACCTCAAATGGAAGTGTTTGATAGAAAAGGATTTACTTTGTACAAGTCTTTACATTTCATGTGAAACAATTCGGCTGAGTATGTCTTATTATACACGAGTCTCTGATGACCGCTGACCTCTGAACGTGAAAGAAACACAAATTCTAAATACACATCAATTACAGGATCACTTGAGACTTGAGAGCTATTAAAGAGTGAGAGATTGGGATGGGGGAATGGCTACTTACTTTAAGTAAGTAACTGCCAAACCTTGAACGATTCATGACACAACAATATACCTCCACCATTCAATGCTTACATTTGCTTTTCCTTGCAATATTTAAAGGTATTATTCAATATTAAGAAATATCATGACACAAAATAAGCCTAAAGTTTGAAGGATTGTAAACTAAACACAACACAAGAGTATAGTGAAAATCACTTTTAACAAGAAATGAGATTTTTGTTTCGTTCAAAGGGCAAATTTTCTGCATGCCCTGTTTTCTATGCTGTTTGGGCAAACAGAAAAAAAAAAAAAAAAAGACAAATTTCTTTTTCTCTGAACGCATTAATTGGCCACCATTTTACTTGAAACATTTTCTGCATTTCAAATTACATCAATGTACAAACAAATCAGTAAATCAACAAATATTGAATAGTACCTTCAACATGCTGTCAGAAGAGCTGTTAGTAGAGTTTTCAGGGTTCTAATAAAGCTATAATGGCCGTAACGAATCTACAAGAAAAACTTTATTTAGGATTAATCGTTAGTCAGAGATAGAAAGAGTGCACTTTTTGTATGCATTAAAATGTCTCTCAATAATAACAGATATTTAAAAAAAAAACATGAGAGGGAGGGGGGGGGGGGGGGGGGTAGTTAACCTTGTGATTTCCCTGGCTTGGCTTGAACTACATGGACGGTTCTGGCAAAGACCCCCAAAAAACATTCCATTTTCCAGAGGTCTGGCATGCCTGCAGCATACACAACATTCACTACAATTCATTTACAATGAAGTATTCAAGAATCAAATACATATATACTACAAGTCCAAGGCATTCGCCTCGGACAACATATTGCAGATGTGGGGGCAGACGTTTTCTCTTTCTCAAAATCATCCATCATCGTATTTACAGGACTAAATTGGAGATGGACACAACAAAAATGTACTCCCGAGAAGTCAAAGGGCTCTCAGTTACTCTTCCTTTCCCTTTCTATGAAAAAGAAAAACATCCGGAAATTCAAAACATAAGAAAATATGCTAAGTCGCCAAACTGCCGCCTTGTGAAGTCTCATTTCTGAGCTGGTACTATTCACACCTCTATTCATTTTGATCTGTCCTCTCATTGGTTTCATACCTTGTAAGGCTCGATACCTACTCTAGTTGGTATTAACTGGTATAAATTTATTTTTTTCGCGCAGAAATTCCTCTCTGTATCCTCTTGCGGTGATCAAGTTGATGAAAGCAGGTTTCTACATATTCTGTGTGCTGTATCCATGAGGGGAAATCTAATTCATGTTCTGTCTATCGCTACTTCGTAAAACATCTCTTTCATAGCAGCATGACAGTCCCAAACACATCACTATAGTATGTCCTTTCCAAACCTTATTTGGCTCTAGGGTAGTTCCAAAGTTTCTCTTTCCTTGGTATACACTGAAGATAACATATTCCTGAAATGGGAATAAAATGGGAATAGAGAGAGAACAGGAATATCAAATTGACGTTTATCACTTTGGAACAACAAACAAGCAAGGTTTTGTTGCCCCTACAGAGCTCTAAAAACAATGATAATCGGCAAGGTTTTGTTGCCCCTACAGAGCTCTAAAAACAATAATTATCGGCAAGGTTTTGTTGCCCCTACAGAGCTCTAAAAACAATAATAATCGGCAAGGTTGTGTTGCCCCTACAGAGCTCTAAAAACAATAATAATCGGCAAGGTTTTGTTGCCCCTACAGAGCTCTAAAAACAATAATAATCGGCAAGGTTTTGTTGCCCCTACAGAGATCTAAAAACAATAATTATCGGCAAGGTTTTGTTGCCCCTACGGAGACCTAAAAACAATAATTATCGGCAAGGTTTTGTTGCCCCTACGGAGATCTAAAAACAATAATTATCGGCAAGGTTTTGTTGCCCCTACAGAGCTCTAAAAACAATAATAATCGGCAAGGTTTTGTTGCCCCTACAGAGATCTAAAAACAATAATTATCGGCAAGGTTTTGTTGCCCCTACAGAGCTCTAAAAACAATAATAATCGGCAAGGTTTTGTTGCCCCTACGGAGACCTAAAAACAATAATTATCGGCAAGGTTTTGTTGCCCCTACGGAGATCTAAAACAATAATAATCGGCAAGGTTTTGTTACCCCTACGGAGATCTAAAAACAATAATTATAAGGTTACCGTAAATCTCCGTGTATAAGGCGCACCTGTGTATAAGGCGCACCCCTATTTTGGGGAAGGAAAAAAAAAAAAAAAAAAAAAAAAAAAAAAAAAAAAAAAAAAAAATCGTTTTTTGTTGTTGTTGTTGTTTTGTTGCCGAAAACCCACGCGGGGAAGGACCTTCATTTTACATCGAGGTGCAGTTGAAGGCGCTGATTTGTGCTTGTGAACTTGTCACAAATAATAGTAACAATGTCGTTTTTAGAAGAATGTGTAATATCATTAATGTAAATTAAAAACAAAAGAGTACATATGGTACCAGTGGTGCACCTTGTGGTACACCATTTGTTATAGAAAAAAATATTTGAGGAATTATTATTATAAACTACATATTGAGATCTATTAGAAAGATTACTTTCAAACCAAGATGACAGACAAATTTGAGTGTTGTTGTAGTTTCCGAGTGGTGAGTCAACACACTGATTAATGAGCTGGGTGACATTGCCAGGCATAGCGCCATAAATCGAAACTAAAAAAAAAAAAAAAAAAAAAAAAAAAACTTTTTTTTTCTGTACCTGTGTATAAGGCGCACCCCCGACTTTCACATTTTTTCGGCGGCAAAAAAGTGCGCCTTATACACGGAGATTTACGGTATACATTTAACGGTTAAACGTTTAGCACAAAAAACGTAATGACTCAGGCTTATCGAAAACCACTAAAAAGTAGCATTTTGAGGAGTCAAAATATCCTGTGTATAAGGTGCACCCCCTTATACACAGAGATTTACGGTATTTTACAAATTTCTTTATATTTTGTATACACTGAAGATACATATTCCTGAAATGGGGATAGAGAGAAAACAGAATAAAATAAAAATGACTTGATTACTTTAGTACAAATAAATTTAAAAATATCAGCATAGCTCAGTGTCAGTACCAGTCATATCTGAATTTGTCCTTTCCAAATCTATTTTGGTTCTAGAATATTTATCAAAGTTCTTATTCGGTTTTATACACTGAAGAGGATACATTCTTAAAATAATAAAGAGAGAACAGAAAAAAATTGTATTGACTTAATTATTTTGGTAAAATCAAAATCAAAACATATCTAAAAGAAATAGACATATAATTCAAAATGTATTATGAACTGACTGCACTATAACATAATGATTATGTTTTCATCTAAAATCGTTCACCCCCGAGATCTCAAGAATTTATGGGAATTTTGGAATTTGGTGAATTTGAAATTCTTTGAAACAGATTTCTGCAGAAAACAAGAGGAATATTGGGTTTGTAACACTACATGTAGTTTGAAGGCAGAAAAAGAGGAATCGTTCCTCAACAATAGCTATTTGACTGTGCAGTTCCCGCTTCCTTACATTTCACCAGAAGCTTACTATCATACTCCCTGCTAAATTTATGAACTCTCTGGTCTTTGACCTTTGACCTACTCACACCGAAATCTAATCAGATTGTCTACCAAGGGTGATACACACTATCACTAGGTTTGTGGGTTCTTGAGATATAGCGATTACGAGGCGAATACCTGAAATGTTCATAACTTGACCTCTATGACCTTTGACCTACTTACTCCAAAATTTAATCACGATTGTCTCCCTATGGTGATACATAATATCACCAAGTTCGAAGTTCATATTTCAAGTGGATCTTGAGATATTGCGCACTGACAAAAAAGCGGGACTAACGTACGGAGAACCTGATTTACATAATGCCTCTGGCACCACCTTTGGCGGGCGGAGGCATAAAAATGGAAATACTTGGCTGCTTTAAAGATTTACTTGTCTGGTTGCAAAGAGGAATGGTCTATTTTGGAGAGTTCTAAAGTAACTTTGGGCAGTATGATGATTGATTAATCACTTAAGCACTGTGTATAACTACATGTATGATATAAGATGTGGCAGACTTACTGTATAGATCCTTATCGTTCAAGAAAACACCAAGCATCAAATACCAGATTTGACATAAAGTGTGTCTAGACCAAACAATCTAAAATGCACTAAACACTGAAGTAAACAAGGTCAGCAAACTATTTTTTTTTTTTTTTTTAATTCATCTTATGATTCATTTTTTCACGATGTTTGCTAGTGCATCTTCAAAATAGATTTGAAGAAGAAAAAAATATTAAAAATGGGTTAATTCTCACCTTCAGGCTGGGAAAAACACAAATATAAAGATTTTTGAAGCTTTACAACGTATCCTGACTTTTTCTCACACACTTTTTCACCCTCTTCCTGAAGGCCCCTTGGTAATCTTCTCTCCAGTCTTTCTGTAAAATACACACATCATTTTGTAAAGAAATAGTATCAGGCAGCTGTCAACATCATTAACACATTTCCATTATAATAGATTTTTTGATGAACATTCTGAGATATAAACATAGCAATTAAATGCTATTGCGTTGTACACATATTGGAATTAATATATTAAATTAAGGATAAGACAAAACTATTACTTGTAAATATGGCAACAAAGGAACTTGTCTTGCAGGATTCAAAGCATTGAATGACATCAAGTTTCCTTATTTTTCCTTGATATTTCGCTGGAGGTGTTTCAAATTCCAGGTTCATTATTTCGATCTAACTCCAATGCGAAATGTCGCTTTAACGAATCATAGTAGATACGCCACTTGGAAAAGAGAGAAACTCTTGGAGACTGGCAACATTCTGAAATTTCCTGCTTTTTCCATGATATGAGTGATTTTTTTTTAAATCAGGGCTCTTTCCTGGTTTGAAAAAAAGGGAACTGTATTCCCTGTTTTTAAATTTTAAGGATAGCTGGGGTCCCCTGTCTTGAGTTCAACAAATGACTTTCCTTGGGAGAAAACAAGAGTTTGTGAGAAAAACCACTAAATGAGAGATGTACAAGAGAGAAATACATGTAAAAGAGAGAAAAATACATACATATATATATATATATGTGGAAAATGAGCTTTAAAGGAGGGTAAAAGAGAAAAATAGGGAATGGAATGATGGCACAATTCATAGCATAATAATGGGGATTCCATGCAATGTTTCCTGTATGATATTACATTTATCCATTAATTTCATGAAAAATTAAAAAATCTTCTTGATATGACCATTTACTTATGGTTGCTTCTGGCCGGATCATTAACATTATTAAATGGTCAAGCAAGAATTTGTATCATTCTTGAAAGAAATAAATGGAAAAAGAACATATGACGTTGTGTGACACATTGGATGGAATCGCTCTTTTACACGTTTGGGTATAATACTCACAGCAGCATCTACATTTGCGGGTGATTCGTCGTTGGGGTCTGCTAACATTGAAATAACACTGATGAGTATCGTCTCCACTGTGTGGATAGGTAACCAGCGTTCTGAAGGCCTCTCGTAGCCCCACTTGTCTTCGCCTGGTTCATGGAGTATTGAGATACATACATCGCCCTCCTTGTCAACTGGAAAAAAAGGTGAACAAGACACATGCATTACTTAAGGTATAGACCAGTTTTGGAAACGCCCCCCTCTCAAAGAATGAAATGGAAGCTCTTATTACCAATCATGTGAAAGATTATGTGTTGGCTCATACGTGATGATACAACTTTTGCCGGGAAACTGCCTACTCATTGATATATTTGGTAAATTATTATACCTATCCAGACTGGATAGATCCCATATATATCTTTCTGTGTACAGTGGTTGCAACTTAACCCAGACTGGGCCTAATTTCTTATCATTTTGATGATTCCAGAACCTTGCAGTACACACCAATACTTACATGTATATGCTAGATGATCAACCTTTTCTGATCTATTGCACAACATTTCTTTCACAATGCAATCGCATCACCAGAACTGGTCTATTCCTGTGATAGGTTCTTCTCTCCTGAATCGGGCGAATTAGGCCCTTCTAACTCTAATCGAAGATGCCCAAAACCAGTTCATGCCCTATCATTTTTAATCAATATCTTGTAAAGATAACTTTTGATTGCAAATTTTGGCATTAAATACAGAGGAAACTAAGACCTACATACATGTAGTGATATGCATTTAACTCAATATTGCCAAAAGGCAAATCGAGGCCCATCTCATTCTGAAGTCTCAACCAACAATTTTTTTTTGTTGAAAATAATTTGCAAAATAATACACATGGCATATCTTGCTAGTTGTTAGAAAACAAATAGGAAAAACCAAATCTCTAATATATGTACATACTACATCTATTCATGAAAACATGAGACAAGGACCAGTATTCTTAAAATTATGTTAACTTTTTTTTTTTATGTCAAGTTCCAGAATTTAAAATGCCCATTATACCTTTAAATCAGTATTCTGAAAACTATGTTAAGGGTGAGTTAACTTTTTTAAGGTCACCGCCCATTTTTCATCGATTCTCTAATGAGAATCACCGTAATAATATACTCTCAGCCAATCTCGTTTTACGTTTGATTGCGTGAACAGCTATGTGGACTACGTGTATATTGAGCATCATCATTTCATATGCACTACCTTTGTCCAAGCCTTTGATACAAAGGTGTACATAAAAAGCAACTTCATTCCTTGTTTTCTAAGTTTGTGTTACCATTAAAAAGTTGTAGATTCCAAGAATCATATAATAGTGTTCACAGAAACCAAATAGGGAAAAGTGCAGGAAATAAAACGTCTACCGGTAATGCATTTCACACATAAATAGACCGATGTACAATGCTTAATAAAGGACCTCTACACCAATGATATTTCTATGTTCACTTCTCTGTCACTCTTGGCTCAAAAAGTTTTCAGTCAACCAAAAAATTACTTTTTTTTTTTACGAGGGCTCTTTTCAGATTTTCCCTTAAAAAAATAGCCCCCCTTAATTATTTTGCGGTGGCTATTTCGGAGCTCAGGGGGGCTTTTTGTTTTTTAAGGTTGTATTTTTTTTAAATACGGTTTTACCTACTTAAATTCCAAGCAAAGGCAAATATACTGTACATACAAATGTAACGTACATACATCTACATGTATGTCATGTAGAGTATTGCAGACATTCAGATACCCATGATTTATTCACTTTTTGATAAACGTGTGGCTTACTATATGATTTACATACATGTAACTAAAAAACTGTCAACCGTTTTGTTCAACTGTTCGTTTTTCATGTCATAAGAAAATATTGTCACTGACAGTTTAACTGACACGCGAGCTAGGAATTAATTTTTTTTATGGGGGCTACTTTTCCCCATTGCCTAAAAAAAAACAAGGGGCTACTTTTGAAAAAAGGGGGCTACTTTCTTAAAGCCAAATTGTAAGCTGTAACAGTGTTTTTCTTTAACCATCATACTACTAGCAAACAAATTGGTAGGTAATATGTTATTGAGTCTTTTTTTTCTGTTCCGAATTGTTATCATGGACAATGCGATCCCATTTTTAAAGGTAATACAAAGTTTTGGTATGGGGTCGTGAATTTGGTTCAAATGAACATATTGGAAGCATATGCGACCCTACAATATTCTCTGATCGTTGTCGCGGTCGAAATTGACTCTAAAGTTACGAAATTGTAAATAATAAACACTTTATGTTGTATAGCTCCCTCTCAAGGTCAAGATATAATCAAGCTGTAAAACAATGTTTCTTGACTAAAATGGACCGTTTAGCTATTATCGTTCAGAAATTATATACCACAACTACATATTCTAAGATTTTCATGGTCGCAGCTACCATTGTACGGCTGTAGGAGCTATTTGAAATTTTTCAAAATTTACCGGGAGCACCGGTATATCTTTATATTCAATTTTTTTCGAAAGCAGAAGTGTTTTAGGGGCTAAAATTTCTAGTGCTTTTAATACATCCACAGGGGCATCCAAATATATCAAATTGTAAAGAATCACTATCAACCCATTTTTCAAAATTTCCCAAAACTTTGTAATACCTTTAAAAAATGTAACTCCGTTCAAAATTGTGTTATTCATAACTTAAAACCATTAAATGTGAGTGAATATTTTTACTGTTGTCCCACATACCGATGTATTTGTTATAACGAAACATGCAAAATCGTGGCCGTATTTTTTTCCAAGTATAGACTCTAATTCTAAAGGCCAAGCCAAAAGCTAGTTTCATTTCGTAGACTGAAATTGATGCCATTACTCAGGCCTGGCATCGTATATAAATGATATAATTTAATTAGACAGTTATAAGAAAAATTCTGAGGTATAGGGACATCATTTATATATTTATTTACAGGTTTTTTATAACTAAATACAATTTCTGTCTACGAAACTAGCTTTATACCGATTTTACAGGGACAAAATCCGGCATTGATTTTGCACGTTTCGTTATAACAAATATATCGGTATGTGGGACAACAGTAAAAGTATACTTGCATTTAATGGTTTTAAGTTATAAATAACACAATTTTAGACGGAATAACATTCTTTTTAATGGGATTGTATTGTCCATGATAAAAATCCGGGTCAGAAAAAAGACAAAATAAACACATTACGTACCAATTTGGTTGCTAGCAGTTCAGCACTCATCACTCGCAAATACTTATTTGCTTCATACTAGGAGAGCGCGCTCCAATGGAGCTGGGCTAGTTTCTGTGTATTGTGAATGTGTGCGAGCTGCGTATGCATCATGTGCACGATCCGAAACTACCACATTTCCATCGGTATACCGTGTATACCAAAATATGTTAAAAGTCCACGTAAGGTTCTGTGCGTGCCCGCTCGCTGCATCTTTACGCAAACGGAACTCTGTTAGTTTTCAGAATACAAATTATGTTAGCTATACCTACTTTTCATGCTAACATCGTTTTCGAAATACCACCCCACAAGATAATCCTTTGATGATACTTACTGTTCGGATGCCAAATCTCGGAGACAAACTTCATTTTAGGTGGCTTATTTGGGTAGTCCTTTGGAAAAATTAAATGTGCTTTGAAGTATCCTCCCTCACTGTGAACAATGAAAATAAAATGATGGAATTATTGGTATTATCATCACATCGTCCATTGAGATCCAAAGCCTAATTTATTAAAGGCATACATGTCTAAAAATCTAAAACGAGTACCTGTACCAACAGTCTACATACTGTAGGCTACTGTACATCCGAAAAATATTGTACTATAACATTAGAAAGCAGCCAAAATGCTACATGAAACTGTGGGGGATCCGGATGGGGGGGGGGGGTGATCTTGATGTGGTAAACTGGCCAGTCACAAGGACTGCTATTTATAAGGACCGCTATTCATAATGTGAGATGAGGGTCGCTATTCATAATTCACATTGAAGGTCATTACTCATAAGGACTGCTATTCATAACAGGGAAAGGGGGGTCACTATTCATAAAAGGCATAAGGACCGCTATTCATGATGTGAGATGAGGGTCGCTATTCATAATACGAGAAGAGGGTCGCTATTCATAATAGCTACGCCACAGCCGTGGGGGTGTCCCCCATCCAATATTTCTCTTCTTCGATTATGAATAGTTGGGCTTATAAATAAGGACCCTTATGAATAATGACCCTTTTCTAAAATAATGAATATCGGTCCTTATGAATAGCGAGCGGACCCCAATCTGACACTGTGTTTAATAGACACGATTGGTTTCAGTATTCAGAAGTCAGGCAGGCAGCATCCAAGCGAACTGCTGCTCGAACAATTTAACAAATCATGTTATTAACGTGCCAGTGGAATCAAGTGGAATGGAAAATATGATCCTCACTCACTATTATTATTCACTTCATCCATTACGTTTAGCTGAAATGACATCACTTCTATTCAGACTACTGAGCACAACTTACACTATGAATATGATGGACAAAGAAAGAGGACAAAATATACAGTTCCTCATTCTACCCCCAACAATTGCTGTGGTAGACAAAGGAACATCCCTTCACTGCTATTACGTAAAAACAGGTGAATATGCATGTGACACCTGTTCTACACATTTTTACATGATAGCAGTGAAGGGATGTTCCTTTGTCTACCACAGCAATTGTTGAGGGTAGAATGAGGAACTGTATATTTTGTCCTCTTTCTTTGTCCGTCATGTTCATAGTGTAAGTTTTGCTCATCAAGAAGCTTGCGGTCCCCTGATATTTTTATTTATCATTCATGTACAAGTAAGTATTCCAAACCTTGATTAGGGTACTAAAATTTTACATGCTGCAATATTCATCTCAATAATATTAAAATATGACCCTCACTTATTACTTACATGTAGCTGCCAACCTTGTGCGACCAAAAAAAAGGAATCATGATGGCAAAAAAAAGGAATTCATGAAAACGAAACTTACAACCACGTGCGACACACTTCCAATGCAGAAATGTTCATTCATCATGCTGTTTTTTCCATACAAGCAGGTAATTTTTTTTGTGGTTATTTTGGTATTATCAGCATTTCATTTTTTTGGAGAAAATTTTCTCTTCAAGTATGTTTTAAAAAATTAAAATTACTTTTCTATTGAATTTGTGATCAAATCACCATTTAAGGGCAGTTGTTTGACGTGTGGTATGTAAAAAAAAAATAATAATAATAACTAAAAAAAATAAATTAAAAAATTAAAAAATTATTAAAAAACATATTTTATGAAGAAAAAAACGGAAAAAACGGAGTAATTCCGGCAAAAACGGAATGGTTGGCAGCTCTGTTATTACTATTTACTCTTATCTATTACGTTTAGCTGAAATGACATCTCTACGATTCTGAGCTGATAGGAGTTTTGCTCCTTACGAAGCTTGCAGCCCCCCAATGTTGTTATCTACCATTGATGTACATGTTGAAAGCTATTATTGCAAATTTGCATTTACTTACTAGAAAGTTTCGGGAGGTCCAATCACCATCACCGTCCATTTGTAGATATCATCATCATCTATAAGACCAGCTGAAAATCCAGTCATTGGTTGCTTTTTTAAATCTACCAAGAGAGAGAGATCAAGAATGAATTCTTTTTGATGGAATAAGAAAATGAACAACTATAACAACAACAATAATATAATTTGTTTGAATAATTTTTTTATGGATCTTTATTGCAACTTTTTAGTTAGGGAAATTCCACTCTGACTTCTGCCTTGGTTAGCTCTACTAATATTAGGGTATCTGATTGCGCACCCGATGTGTCCTAAAGTCCTTCCCATACATATTGCACGCATCCATCTGCAGTCTATGTGCATTGCGTGACCATGCAAAATTGGTCAACGTTAAAAAAAATAAATTGAGATTCAAACCTTTATTTGTTGTGATCCTGAAGGTGATAATCAATAAATGAGGTCATATGAAAGGGTAGATTAATCTCCATATTTCCAAAAAGGTGTTATATCCAATTTCTAAAAATATCTTCCTCAAAACAGCGATAGGCCTATAAATGTTGTTTGCAGCCTAGCTCTGAAATTTGACACTTTTTAGAACCGACGGCCTGATCGTTTATACAGTAGTCCAAGTCGTAGAAATCGACCGATGGGCTTGTTTTTTCGCTAGCCCCAAGGGATCACAACTTATTACAGTTCGAAAAAACTGTTCCCCCAATTTTTCGGATCAGCTAAGTAGGGCGGCGTGAGCGCCGCTCAGCCCCAACCCATGGCAACGGCGCGTAAAATCTGCACATGCATATGCAATGCAGACTGCGTGTGACAGCATGTGCGTGTTTGTGTATTGGTTGCGATCGCGCTCTAGGAGCACATGCAGCTAAGCAACAGGCGTACACGTACGCTTGCATATTGCGCAATGCAGATGTTTTGCTGAATTTAGCAAAACAGAATAGCTCCGCGTGTACGTCTTTTTCGTTGATTCTGACAAAAATTGGATGAATATTGCCTAGATTTTGAGGGGCTGTATAGTGGATCTTTTCATAGAAACATCGGGGAGTCTTGAAATTTGATTAAATGTCTTATTTAATTGTCCAACCATAATGGTGAAAATTGATCCCAAAGGGAAAATTGAAAAATCGTTCAGACACCCTACTAATATTGCAGCCAAGACGTAAAGAGTGAAAACAAACTATTAGCACTACCCCATACAACGTTCTTCAGCTCAAGTCTAAGAATCACCTTGAGCACCCTCTGGGTGGATATGTCGCGCATTAGAAATGTCTTTATTATTATTAATAGAGGCGGTCAGAGGAGCCAGATGTAATCTCAGCGGAACAACCATCAATATCAGAGACTAAAGCTTTCGGTCTAGCCTTTGCCTTGCTTGCTTTGTATGTACCGCAGAACTTTAGCTTACGGTACATCTAGCGCATGCGCATTACCCGGTTTGTTAATCCAGCCTCGGCCTCGTTTTCCTAAATTGGCGCCTACAAGGGCCCATCTGAATAGCTTTTGCTGGCTGCCATTCGCCTAATGTTATAAAATGTTGGTGCGAGGAGAAAGCTCGCGATATTCTGTTTCATATGATACCAAAATCATCATATTCCAGTCAAATCTTCTATTTTGTACAATTTTTCTGGCATCCTTAAAAGTTAAGTTATTTTAACCCTAAGAGGCTGGGCTATTTGAGGTCTTAGTACAGCCGGGGGGGGGGGGGGGGGGGGGGGGGGGGGGGGGAGGGGCCATTATGGCCCTCCCTTAAGATCTCAAATAGCCCGGCCTTATAACTTAACTTTTAAGGATGCCAGAAAAATTGTCAAGTGAAGTGTATAGAATAATATGATAATTTCAATTTTTTGAAAAATTCACTCATTTGCATATTTATGCAAATAAAGTCATAAAAATCACATTTTTACCCATAAATCATATATTATTCATTATATTTAAGCATTCTTTTTCACTACATATATTCATTAGACTATTCTGAATAATCATACAACAAAAAAAATTTGGAAGAGCCAGCTTATTCCTTATGTTATCCCTTGGTTTGATAATTTATTTCTTACGTATTTCATTGTTTTTTTAACTTATGTATTTTATTGTTTTTTGTTGTTTCATTTCATTTCTTACAACAATTCAACTATTTTGACTCCCAAAACAACCACCTTAACTTTAAACAAGACCCAATAACCCATGTTTGATCTGTTTTTAGGAAAAATGACTTTTCGGGCTGACATGCAAAGACAAAAGGTCACGTGACCTTGTAACCGTAGGTCTGATTTTCATAAAAATTCTATTAAAAGTTGCGCAAGACTCAAAAGAAAAAAGTCAGCGAGCGGCGGGGCGCCATCCATATGCGTTCCCGAGCAATCAGGAAAATCGTGGAGGGGGGGGGCCATAATGCCCCCCCCCCCCCCGGCCTTATTAGGGTTAAGTTATCTCCCTTGACTCCTTGAGTGATTTCAAGTTGGGTGTTTAGGGCTGGTGTTAGTGTTTGTTTAATAAACATTATATTCCACATACTAAGAATCTTGCTCTCCGATTGGTCAAAAGTAAATCATGTGATGAAAGATAGTTCGCCCATTATTGATGGGAGAAGCAAAAAGTTTGTTACACTGTGTAGATAGTACTACTATCTACACAGTGCAACGCACTTTTACTGAAAATAGAGGTACTATCTACACAGGGCAACGCACTTCTACTGAAGATTATCCAAAAGCGCACTAAAACAGGCGTAATTAAGCGCGCATTACCAATGAGCGCAATTAAAGCAAACACATGCGCGCACCGTACCCTCAAGGGGTTAGGTTAAATTTTTAACTTTTTTGGTGTGAATTTGGGCCTGGTGTCTTTCATGTACATTTGCAGATGCATACACGTCCTTTCCTTTTTGTAGTTAAATTGTTTTACATGTGGAATATATAGCAAATAATCACCTTTTGGTTTCATGCGATGGCAAACTATCACTTCCTCGTCGATCAGAATGTATACGCTATCTTTCCTCAGCTTCGCTTCGGAAAGATAGCTACATCCAGAACGCCTCGGAAGTGATAGTTTGTCCCATCACCTTCACCAACGGTAGTTATTTGCTTACTAACACAAGCCCTAACACCGAAATGGAAATCAGCTGGTGTTAAAGCTTTGACCTCTGAATATCGTTAACTCCCGGTAGCTAGTCTTAACGATTTTACAAAATTGTCGTCTGCTGAACCGACCTGTGTGGCTGGTGCTAATATTTTACATACGATTATCCTATTCACTAACACTAGCCCCTAGGGATTAAGCAAATGTTCATTTCCAGTTCGGTATTAGTGTTATACCCGCAAAACAGTCAACGCACGAACGATGCTAATTTATTGTCTGACAATCAAATACAAATATGTGAAACAGGTCTTTTACTATGTGATTCATATATTCTTTTGTGTAAAATGAGTTGTTTTTATAAGACCAGAGAAATAATTGTAAATAGGCTTGAGTCGGTACGGTCGATCACACCGGGACCCGACCGTTGCCGTCGGGTCCCGGTTTCGTTTTTTGAGAACCGACGCTCCGAAAAAAATAATGAAATATGTAAGAAATTGCAGTTTTGCACCCCACTAAAATCATTCCACCTTGAAACTTAAGTATTTAATTGTTACCAATCATATTCTAGCTCATCCTGAATCAATCCGAACTGCTGATATAAATATGGGTTGCACAGCAGTTCGCCCCATGGGGTTGTTGTTGCCAGCTGCTAGCTAGTACTGGCCGGTTCTCTCGGCAGGATTAATAAATCAGGTTGAAAGAAACATTAATTTTTGAATAATAAAACGGCTTTCTAAAAAGTACTTCTTTACAACATGCCGATCAAATAATTTTTAAAAGACAAAATGGATATTATTTCTTTGATTTTGAACACCGCATGCTTCTTTTAAAAGCTGGAAATTACTTGGTAATCACAAGAAGTTTCGATACGGATAGCTGTTGCAAGCCAAGTTCAGACTAGTCTCGGAAAAATGCGCAGTGCTCCTCGTAGTTAGCTGTAATCCGTGCCAGAACGAACCCAAACAAAGACGTGATCGTAACGAGAAAAAATCATTAAAAACTACGAGAGCACAATTGGAAAGACAACTACTCAAAATTATCGTAAGCAGATACATAACTTGGAGGAATAATACAATAGTTGTCCAAGAAAAGCCACAGAAATAGTGATATTTAAGGAGTTACTATAGGTACAATCATTATCGGAATGGGCCTGCTGATATGTCCGAATTACACGTTAATTTGGTTTCTAGCCTCGTGTTCTAACACGAGGCTAGAAACCAAATAACGCCCTCTACGGTAAAAAGCAGTATAACAAAGGATTCGAGTATTTGCAGCAAGCCCCTTGCGATAAAAATTAATGTACCCATAGTTACTCCTCGATTATCACAATTTCTTTGGCATTTCTTGGGCGATTATTGAATTCTTTGTCCAAGTTATTTATCTGATTATCGTAATTTTGAGCAGTAGTTGTCTTTCCAATTGTGCTCTCGTAGTTTTTAATGATTTTTTCTCGTTACGATCACGTCTTTGTTTGGGTTCGTTCTGGCACGCATTACAGCTAACAAGGAGCACTGCGCATTTTTCCGAGACTAGTCTGAACTTGCCTTGCAACAGCTATCCGTATCGAAACTTCTTGTCGGATTACCAAGTAATTTTCAGCTTTTAAAAGAAGCATGCGGTGTTCAAAATCAAAGAAAAAATATCTATTTTGTTTTTAAAAATTATTTGATCGGTATGTTGTAAAGGAGTACTTTTTAGAAAGCCGTTTTATTATTCAAACATTAATGTTTTTTGACCCGATTTATTCAACCTGCATGAATCAAAATGGCGGCTCGATCGTTGTCTTTCTATTTTTGCTCCAGTTTTTTTACTTTTAGAGGCACGATAATGGCACTAAACATCGCCAATCATGGATAAAAATAATGTCAAATGGAAGAATATACCGATCTGTGCCGAGGTATGCATGTGTTGATTTATTTGACTGATAAAAAAGGTCACTTTTAAGAGACATACTGATGATATGCGCTTTTTATAGAGGCAAGTGACAAATCCCGCGAGCTGATTTCGGGACACCGGGTCCCGATCGGTGCAAGGCCGTCGGGACCCGGTTTATGAAAATCCCGACATGACTCAGGCCTAATTGTAAATTATTCTGTGTAACTTTTCATGATATCTTTAGATTTTATGTACTATTTTGAAATCATCGTCGTGAAAACAAGTCTGTGTAGCGATCGCAATGACGTCACCATGGTATTAAGCTATCGATGTTGATATTGGTATCGGGCTCTGAATTTCATCAGCAAATTTTTAGCTCGATTTAAGAGCTCTTAACTGCTCTTAACACTAACATTAACACTAACACCCAACTTGAAATCACTCCTTGTCTTGTCATTTATGTTATGTGTGTACTTATGCCAAGTGTGCATCAGTTATAATTCAAAAGTGCGTCACCTGTATAAAGCTTGACAGTGTGTTGTGGAATCTATTGTATTGGCTGGACCATTGCGCTCTCCACTTACATGTATGGTGGTGTGACCAAATTTCGCGCGTGACCTTAGTTTGCTATCTCAAAAATCAGTAAGATTTCAAAAATCTGATATCACCAATGGAAAGAGGAACATAAAATTACCCAGAGATGAAATTTTCTTTGGAATTGGGTACAAAATTGTGAAAATATTGACAAAAGATCAGCAAATTTTGCAATTTTTTGTGTCCTTTCCGAAAAATTATCAACCTACCGATAAGGGTCTGAAAATCTTCAATTTGAGAGCAGATTTTCTCAAAATTGTAAGTAAAATGTGGTACCAACTGATTGTACGATATCTTGCCTTGCAAATTTTGATATAACCATATTTTTGATGGATCACATTTGTTGATAAATCAACTGTAAACCCCGTGCGTGAAGTTAGGTCTCGTTGTTTTTATGACTTTTTAGATGCAGCGCACACGCACGATCGGACACCAAATTTTTAGATCGCGATATCTCCGAAATCCTTCAACGATATATTTTCTAGTTGAACCAATCAGTAGTAAAAAACTTTGCCGTCCATTTGGTAATAGGCCTAATTGAAATTAATAAATTTGTGTAGAACATGAGAAATCATAGACTCTAGATCGAATATCACATTTGTAATACGTTCTAAAATGTCCACGAACTTTGGTCACCCATTCATACATTACGTTCAAGTGGGCCCTCTCTCACTTAAAATTGAAACCGCTCGAGCGGATCGGCCAATGAGAGCATGTAAACTCACTGTACAGAGCTCAATGCATAAAGTTCTACACGCTTTGCTTTGAGTTTGACTTTGTTTACACAGAGTGACAGACCATCACTGTCACTGACCCCTGCTGACAATTAATATTTTGATTTTTGTTATTCAGACAGCATCATGGACATTACTAACTCCGGGAAGCTCCAACACCGGCGCCGCAGGATGAGCTTCGGAGCTTCGGGTGGTTTCGTTGGTTTCTCGTGGGGGCAAGTAAAACAGCCGAATGGGTGATATTATCGTTAAATCTGCAAAGGGAGTACTTACAATTTTTACATCATAGGGTGCACGACTCCTCAGGGCTCAACTCCAATCACTTGAATGTATAATTTGAAGAAGTCTTTGATCAGTAGGGGCGCTGGTCCGAGAATGCGGATCGTCCTCATAAACAAGGAAATCCTCATAAACGAGGACAAAATGCGTCCTCAAAAATAAGGGTCGTCTGCATTTTCGAGGACGTTTTTTTCATCGGCGCTCTGGGGGTTTCATGTTACAGAACGGCCCGCTGGCGATGCCAAAAATGGATTCCCCGGGGGAAAATAACCCTAGTTCACCGTCTACTTTTATGGGTTGGCCGTCTTCCCAAGGATTTATTGCTCATAATGTGAAGGTCTCTGTACAAAGACAATGTAAAATGCATCAAGAAAATCATTGCAGAATCCGTTTTTTGCATCGCCAATGCGCCGATCAAAAATATGAAACGTCTGCGAAAATGCAGACGGTCCTTATTTTTGAGGACGCATCTGTCTGTGTTAAAGAAGACTATCCTCGTTTATGAAGACGATCCTTATTCTCGGACCAGCGCCCCTACTGTTGATGGGAAAAAAAGGTTAATTCGGGGTACTACACCAACGATTCTTCCATGTCGCAGCGTTGATTAAAAATAGCGATGAGAAGGTACGCATGCGCGGCAGTGGCGAAGAAAATATGAATATTCATGTTATCGAGCGCCAATCGCTCGAAATCGCTGAATATGCACGAGGTTGAGAAGGGCTTTGTTTGTTCGAGTCGTGCATATTCAGCGATTTCGAGCAATCAGCGCGCGATAGCATGAATATTCATATTTTCTTCGTCACTGCCGCGCATGCATACCTTCTCATCGCTATTTTTAATCAACGCTGCGACATGGAAGAATCGTTGGTGTAGTACCCCGAATTAACCTTTTTTTCCCATCGAAGACTTCTTCAAATTATACATTCAGTCATTTCAGTGATTGGAGTTGAGCCCTGAAGAGTCGTGCACCCTATGATGTAAAAATTGTAAGTACTCCCTTTGCAGATTTAACGATAATATCACCCAATCGGCTGTTTTACTAGCCCCCACGAGAAACCAACGAAACCACCCAAAGCTCCGATGCCTGCGGCGCCGGTGTTGGAGCTTCCCGGAGTTAGGACATTACTCGATAATACCAGTCAGATTGACAATTTGCAATATAAAATAATGAATTTTAACTTAGACAATTCAATATCTATGCATGAGTTTTCAAACATCAAGGAAATGGCAATTTATGTGAGTGACGTTATATATGAGTAGATCTATGACTATGCCTTTATGAGCGAACAAAAGAAAACACTGGATCACGCAGCATCACACAGGTCGTATACATGTACATGTACCGTGCGCATACTCATTGACATGCACTGTACGTACATCTACAGCACAGTTCATTCATTGCATGCATTGCATGCTCTGCCAATGGTATTGTGTAAAGAAACATATGAACATGAATCAACGACTACGTAACTCAACTAACATCATGAATACAAAATTCGCTACAAGGAGAAATAATTCAAAAAACAAAACTAAATTGAGTTTACCTGCGAGCTGCTTGGCCAGCATAATAGACGACGTCGACCGTGTGGACGTATCCATTTTACGCTAAAATTGGTACATCGAACTTGGATTAGAAGTAGCCTTGCATGAGCTAAAACAGCTAGCTAACACAACACACTGCCAATATCGATATCGATATCTACGCACGTTAACCCAGGGTGGGGCGGACGGGCGCGCTGCCCCCATTGTTTGTGGCAACTAAAATTCAAAGCTTACTAAATGCAGAGGGGGTGCTCGAGGGGTTAGGAAGGGGTAAGGGGGCACAGTGCCCACATCTTTTCTGGTATTCCTTAAATAACCCTTAAATTCCTTAAATAACCCATACGTCGATAGCTGACCCAATTTCCCCCGCTTATACGTATACGTCGATATAGAAACAATGTGCTCCTTTTCCTTTCTAATAACTGCCCAATGGCACACTGCCACCGAGTTTTTCAAGAACCCCTAAATTAAAATGAACGCAATCCTTTTTATTTTTAATAGGTGCCCTATCCACATTATTTCACTCCTATTCAAATCTGATATGTGCCCTTTTACTTTGACAAGTGTAGGCCTACCCTTTCCTTTGTAATAGCTAAGTACCCCGTCCCCTTCTAATAAGTGCCCCCTTTGATTTCAGATAATTGCCCATTTTGTTTTGACACGTGCCCCTTTTTTCCTTTTTGATAAGTGCCCTCTTTCCTTCAGATAAGTGCCCCTTTTCCTTTTTATGAAGAGTCCTTCCCCTTCTCAAAAATACAACTTTCACCTCTAATAAATGCCCCTCTAAACTAAACTAAATTATACTTGATAGGTGCTCTTTTTCCTTCGACAGTTGCCCCCATTTTTTTTAAAAGGGCCCCTTTTTCATTCTCATAAGTGTACCTTTTCATCTTTGGTGAGTGCCCCAATTCAAATCTGAGAAGCGCCTCTTTTACTTTGACAAGTGCCCCTTTTCCTTTTTCATATTGAAGCGCACCTTCCCCTTCTCTTAAGTGCCCCTTCTCATCTCAGATGAGTGCCCTTTTATTCTCTGATAAGTGCCACCTTCACCTTTGATAAATACCCCTTTCATTTTGACACATGCCCCTTTTTCTTTTCCAATAAGTGCATTTTTTCCTTCCGATCAGTGCCCCTATCCTTTTTTTTTTAGTAAGAGCCCCTTCCTCTTTTTCACCTCTGGTAAATGCCCCTGTCAAATCTGACTAGGTGGCCCTCCTCTTAGTAAGAAGTGCCCCTTTTTCCATTCTCGTAAGTGCCACTTTTCAAATTCGAGAAATGCCCATTTTCACATCTGATTATCAGGCACGTAGCCAGGGGGTGGGCACGGGGGGCACGTGCCCCCCTAACTGCCAACATTTCCAAACCCCCCTTTCGCGGGCTTTTGCGGGCTTTTCCTGCCTTGGAGACCCCCCTAAATCATGAAAAATGCTCAATGTACCCCCCTAAATTCGGAATAATTTCTCAGGAGTCCAAAGAGATGAGAGAAAAATGGAAAAAAAACACCCCCTTTTTAAAGAAATCTCCGGGTGAAAAGTTAATACACCCTTTTTTTACAATTCTCGGGCCGGACTTTGTCGCACGAAAAGTACCCCTTTACAGGACATTTTGGTAACACGCATGGGGTCATTCCGACCCCGGAGTGGGGGGGGGGGGGGCGGGGATACGTGATCCTTTTCTTTGCTAATGAGTATCCTTTTGATCAGTGCCCCTTTTTCCTCTCCACATAGGGTTAGAGTTAGGGTAAAATGACAACAACAACATAAATTTGCAGCAGGGCCGAGTTGTCCCGGGTCCGAGTTAGCCCGGATCCAACACGGGACTCCCCTAGTCCAGATTCAGTCCGTTCGTTCTTTTTATCCCCCACACACAGCGCGGTCTCTCCACTGATCAAATTTCCGTCCACACGTATTCGAGGTCCAGATTTAGAGGAATGGCTAGGTCTACTTTCAACGTTGAGGGTGTGTTATTTTATCAGCTGATTGGGTGCGCTAAAAACGAAAACGGTACAGAGGCTGGACTAGAGTACCCCTAATTTAAAGCGACTTACATGTAGAACCGCGTCGGTGTGACTGCGCCGTTTATCCTACCAGTGTCGTTTATCCGTCGGACATAATGCGGGTTTTCTGCTCGCACGGATCGTCCGAGGGATCCGTGCGGTTTGCTATCCGCACAGTTTGTCCTCACATTGTTTCACGTGTATATATTTTGATAAAAGGAAGCAACTCGGTAAATCATGTGGTAGCCATTTTTTCTAGAAATTACATAATAATAACTCTCTACAATTTTTTTAAAGCAAATGGGCAAGTCCTTTTGAAAGTAGAAGTGAATCGTGATATCGGCCCCACAATTGTTGTAATCGATTATACTTTTATACGTGGCTTTGTTCTTCAACCAACTCACTACTAGTATATACTCGTGATCCAGGCCCCGTCCCCAAGTATTTGGGGGCGTTTCGAGGTTTAATGTAGGAGTTAAATGGGAAATAAAAGTGATTAAAATGGGGTTAAAAGTGAGTGGGGGAGGCTAGAGTATTTAAGATAAGGTAGAGCGTAGCACAAATTGGCGGATGCTCAGGGGGTAGGGGCATTTAATTACGGTCAGATGAGCATATTTTAATACCTTATTCATGACACTAGCAAGTCACTAATTGGCGTATGGTCCAAGAGGCGGAGCCCCCGGAAGCGCAGGGGTTTTAGGCATTAAAATTAAGGTCAGATGAGCATCCAGGGACCAGCGTTAGGGCCCAAGGTGGGGTCCAGGGGGCAGAGCCCCCGGAAGCTCTTAATTACGCATTTAATTACGGTCACATGAGCATGAGCATACTTTCTTTTCTTTTTCTTTCTATTTAATTATCTTTAATATACTTTTTCAAAAGTGTGGGGGGGGGGCTTGAGCCCCCAAGCCCGCCGTTTCACAGGACCTGACAAGTATTTTTTCCCCCTGATCCGTATATAGGACAAGGCCCTGGGGCAACTAGCCATAATCCGATATGTAGGTCGTTTTCCGGTCAGAACTAGCCCTAACTATCATTTCAGGATTTTGTTTCAGAACCTGAGACAAAGTTACCCAATCCCTTTAAGTTTCAAAAAGTAGACTTCATTGACCTGTACATAGGCTTAGGAACCGGGGGGGGGCTTTGGGGGGGGGCTCAGATATCATTGAGCAGCCCCCGATACTTATTGAGGGGCTCGGATGTCATTACGGAGCCCCCCCCCCCCCCGATATTTGTGGGGCTTGGATAACATCACGGAGCCCCCCGATATTTTTTGAGGGGCTCGGATATCATTGAGCCCCCCCCCCCCATATTTTGGCGGGGCTCGGTTATCATTATCATTATAGATTGGTGCACATCATTATGTTTGATCATCCTCTCCTATTATGTTTGTTTTCATTCCTCTGTTAGTCATCCTTTATTTGCTACCTATGATATACCTATATAATTATGCAAAATAAACCCTGGAGGTTTAAAGTTGTAAAGCCCAGGGCAGTTCAACACACGTAATCATGAAATAAGGATGTCTTCATCGAAGTGTCTCTGTAAGTGTAGAACCACGCCCTGTGCCTACCCGCTCAGGCCACTCTACATTCAGAGGCGTCGCTAAAGGGGGGGGGGGGGGGTTAAAGTCGGTGGGATTTTTTTTTTATGTCGGTCGGCCAGCAATTTTTTCTCCTTCGAATTGTGACTTTTTATCGGACAAAGAAACTTTTTTGAAAATTTAGACAATGATTTAGAGTCGGTACAATGAATCGTCTTCTTTTTCTAATAATTTAATGAAACGGTGAAGCTCCCGCGCTTCGCGCGAGAGGGGGAGAGAAACTGAATTCAGACAATTAGGGTTAAGAGTAGAGAACGGTATACAACAAATCGTCTTCTTTCTATAAGAACTTAATGAAACGTCTAAGCTTCCGCGCTTCGCGTGGGATGGGGAAACTGAATTCAGACAAGGATTAAGAGTCGAGAACGGTACAATAAATCGTCTTTTTTTCATAATAATTTAATGAAAGTTCGCGCAGGAGGCCTTTCATCCATCCCCTCCCCCACATAGGGAGCGCGCTTTGCGCGCTCTTTAAGTGATTCGCTTGCTCATTTTACACATAACAATTTTGCCTTCGGCCCCGGGTTTATAGGGTTAAATATGTAGATATTGGGACATTTAATTTTGTCGGTAGTTGGTGGCTTGTTTTGTCGGTAATCGTTGGCCTCTATTACTATACCCCCTACCCCCCCCCCCCCACCCCACCCCACCCCCCCCCCCCCCCCCCCCCCCCCCCCCCACTGAAAAAGGTCTAGCAACACCCCTGACGACACATCAGGCCTATACTTGCGTTTTGTGAGAGGCTCAAGTATCCGGGCCAGCTATCTAATAGTTGAGTAAGTTTTGGAAGAAAAACAAAACGAGTACTCGATCTCCAATCGTATTAGTTTTTGGGGAATTTCGAATGTCATCAAATATGTTTTTTTTCCTTTTAAAACAATAATTGTTTTGCAACTCAATTCAGGCCTGGCTAAATATAAACTTTTTCGTAAGGCAACAGACAAGTAATTTAGTCATATACCTGATTAACATTTGAAGATTTCCTACACTAATGCCTGGCCGTGCGTGTCCCATTTTGAACACTAAGTTGCACCTGAAATTGCAACATGTGCATTATAAGCTCCAAACGCTTTCTTTCCTACAAATACACCCCCAAAATCCCAAAAGCTTGAATGTATACTATTTCACAAGATGTAATTAAACAATATGAATGATATTAATGATACACTTACATGGACATGCAAATGCATGATCATTTTTTGCGCTTCTTGCTGCCAGCAAGATAGTTTCCCTCTGCATTTAATTTTGTTGCTGTTATGAGTTTATATAATTATATTCATATTTTTGTTATCAAACAGGAATAAATGAATGAATATATAAATACATTTGTACAATACGATTTGTACGATAGTTGTACATTGATGATAGAAGAACCAATGAAAATCGCAACTGATCTTCCCTAATTCTTTCCCCCCTTTTCTTTTCTTCCTCTTTGTTTTCTGTCCCTTTCTCTCCTCTTTCCCTTTCACTTGCAACTGATCTCTACCTTTCTTCTTCCTCTTTTTCCCCCTTTTCCTAATACTTCTCGCTCTCTCTC